AGCATCAAGGTTTACACATTTTTGTAGTTTTTAACTTTCCAATAGCTACAGTAGTTCTTGAGATATGCGCTTCTAAAGCTTACGCCCTCTTGAAGCGAGGCATCGGCGCCTCTCCCCTCGAGGAGACGCAGAGAAGTTGCACACTCTAGCTTCTCTGCGTCTCTTCAGTGTTTTGACATCAATTTTCAGATGGTTTCCCGTCTAGTCCTGCTCATCCTAATCTCTACCGTATCCGCTGAATTTCATAAAATGAAGTTAGGCGGAGACTGTGAGAAAATTCGTCTGGAACTCGAGGGAACCGATGATTCGGCGACAAAACTTTCGAAATTTAACGCATTTTTGGATACTCTTGGTCCGGATGTCCGTCAGAAATTCTGGGACATCGTTGCGGCTGCAAAAACCGACGCGGCGACTAATCTACCATCGGAAAATGCCAAAAATCTGGCGGCAAGTGTCGTCAGCGATTTTGAGACTGGAAATTTCTTCAAGTCCCATGAAGAAATGTCTAAAGAGGTAATGGGTTACTGTATGGCACAATTTTTTAATGTTTTTTCACAGACTCCGATGTTTTCAAAACTTTTCTAGGTATAGTAGTTCTTGAGTTATGCGCCTTTAAACGCTGGCTGGTCCTTAGCCTGTTTAAAGGCGCATATCTTGAAAACTACTGTAGCTATGAAGAAGTTGTCCACTACAAAATTGCTCAGCATAAAACTTTACACATTTTTGTAGTTAACAACTTTTCGCTAGCTACTGTAGTTTTAGCCTTTAAAGTTGACGCGCCTTCTAGGGGAGACGCAGAGAAACGAGAACCCTCTAGCTTCTCTGCGTCTCATCCAATTTGAAAAGCGCATATCTCAAAAACCACATTAGCTATCAAAACGTTGTTAATTACAATATTGCTCACCTCAAAATTTTACACATTTTGCAACTTTCAAAACTTTCCTAGCTACAGTAGTTTTTGACTTATGCGCCTTTAAAGTTAGTGGCCTGAAAAATCCCATTTTTAAGCTAAAATCCAAATTCGAATCTCTTGATGATGCCGACAAGACCGCCGTCAAAAATTTGGCTAAAGTCTATGGACAACAAATCAAAAAATTGGTGGTTCCAGTTTTGCCAGAAAACTGTAAACCAGCTTCCGACGCTGCCACTGAAGCCGGCAAACAGGCACAGGCTGGGGGTTTTGATACGGTAAGCCTAGAAGTCGGGGCAAAAACGAAAAATGACACCGAATACCAAAAATTCAAGGTTGAGAGCTTCAAAATGAGCCCAAACACGGTTAATTTTGCTCAAAATTGAAAAATTGAAAATCGCGTCGCGGCTGCGTCGCGGTTTTCAAAGATTATGCTAGAATCGGCGGTATGGGGCTCATTTTGAAGCTCACGACCTACTGAATTCAAATTTT